ATACTTCCTTAGTATCAGCAAATATATATATAATATATAATAAATATATAGCAAATATCAGATAAGTATTCAGATTCCCCTGACCTGCTTACAACGATCAAATGCTTAGAGTTTTGTTTGTCTCATTCTGCGCTGTGTCCCCCAAGTGTTCTCCATGTGTCCCCAGCCACCCACCCATGGCTGAGCCATAGAAAGGGCTCACACAGTGTTTGTTGAATGACTACATGGATAGGTGTGTGTGTGGGAAAGTGAGTGGGGGGATTATGGGGGTGCTAGGAAAGGGGTACGGTCTTTGTTCCCGGCCTACCTGCGCTGCTTCCAAGTAGGGGGACCTGGGACAAGTTACTTGTCCTCTTGGGGTTTCTGTTTGCTCATCTGGAAAACGGGCACAGGAATTCCAGGCTTCTGGTGGGGGTGGGGGGGCGGTGGCTGTGAGGGAGCAATGGGAACGTGGCTACAGAGTGCTTAGCTCCATCCAGGACCACGGGTCCTGGCTGATATCTTGCTAAAAATACAGGGTTTATAGCCACAGTGACATGCCCTGAGCCAGGCGCATGAGCTTTGGCTCATTTAATTCACACCTGCTTTTCAACAAAAGGCCCCGTCTTGGGAGGTTTGGACAGCCGGGTAACTGTTGGAATGAGAGAGCAGGAAGTGGGTGCAGGGCAGAGTTGGGGTAGGACCTGCTTTAGACCCCGTGGACGCCAACCCCGGATGTCCATTCCCAGGGGTCCGCCCAGACCGCAGCGTCTCCCCCCCACGACCCCCAGAGCCATCTCAGGAACAGACCCACTGCCTGTCCCAGCTCTTGGATCACGTTCAAGTGCCTCCCTTCGCTCCCCCCACAGAAATCCTACTGCCCTGCCGCTGCTGTCTTGAAGTTATCAATAATTTTGAACAAGGGCCTTCCATTTTCATTTTGCTCTGGGCCCCACAAATTATACGGAGGATCTTGCCAGCCACACGGACCTTCTTTCTGATCCTCTGACATGAAGACTCATCTGAAATGTGACCCGCCTTCACAGGCTGATGGAGCCACTCCCTCCCACACCCCTCACCTGGCTAACTATGACCATCCTCGGGCCCCACCTCTGGTGTCCCCTCCTCCAGGAAGCCCCCCGTGACTCTCTGTGCTGACTCAGGCACCCGCTCTGGGCTTCCTAAACCGCCAGTTCCCTCGTCCCAGCCCTGACCGCTCTGGGTCCATCTTTGGGGATGGTCTGTCTCCCTCCCTGGACTGTGCGCCCCAGGAGGGCACAGCACAGCACTGCGGGTCCAGCTCTCCTCTGTGGAATTGGTAAGTGGAGGAAGAGGGTAGAAGGGAGGAGACCTAAAACCATCCCCCATTCTGTCTCACGCAGCCCCACTTCAACAAGCTGATGCGCAGGAAGTGGGTGAACAGCCCGGAGGCCCTGGATGGCATCGTGGGCACGCTGGGCGCTCAGGCCCTGGCACTGCGCAGGATGCAGGATGAGCCCTACCAGGTGCGCGGGCTCGTCGGGGGTGGGGGGGCAGGGATGGGCGTGAGAGTGGGGGAGCGGGAGCGCGCCGCAGGGGGGAGGCCCCTTCCAGGTGCGAAGCCGCTCTCTCAGCGTGAGATAGGCGGCGCTCTGCGCGGGGTCTGCGGGTTGGCAGAGGTGCGGGTACTGGGGTGTTGGGTGCGGCGGCCACGGGGTTGGGGCCTCTGGCGGGGAGAACTCCGGAGAGTGGGGGGAGGGCTGGGACGCCGCAGCCTTTGGGGGCCGGCAGGGGGGGTCGTAGAGCCGATTAGGGGGCAGAGGAGCAGGACGGAGGTCACCCGCTGGGAGTCGCGAGGGCTGCTGGGGGGGCTGGGGGCGACGAGGGGACGCGGCGCCCTGTGGGCAGGGGAGGGGTGCCCGGGGGGTGCCCGGGGTGGGCGCGGGCGGGGGGGGGAGCGGGGAGGGCGTCACCGGCTGCTCAGCGGCCCTCGCGTCTCCCCCGGTCCCCAGGCGCTGGTGGCCGAGCTGCACCGGCGGGCGCTGGTGGAGTACGTGCGGCCCCTGCTCCGAGGACGCCTGCGCTGCCGCTCGGCTCGGACCCGCAGCCGCGTGGCCGGGAGGCTCCGGGAGGACTCGGCGCAGCTGCAGCGCCTGTTCCGGCGGCTGGTCAGTGCGGCCCAGGGGCGGGGGGCTCCGAAACCACGGGAAAACCTGGACTGCCGGGAAGCCCGGACCCGATAGCCGGGCCGGAGGGCTTTCGAAGAAGGCCTTCGCCCAACTTTCGGTGCACAGGGACACTTTGATCCTGGCCCTGCGCGCGTAAACATCGGCGTGCTCCCGGCGAGAGCTCGCCTCCGGGCGCAAACCCGCATCGTGTTCCCTGTGCCCGGTGGGGGGAGTCGATCAGTTCAGTCCCGCGAGGTGCTTAGGGCCCTACCCGGCCAGAGCTCCCACTCCCTAAAGCAGGAGCTGTTCGGAGCACAGAGAGAGGCTAAACGCAACAGAAACCCGAGAATCTTGGCGTTCCCAAATCCAAGAATGTAAAATGACCAACTCTTATTTGCACCCAGTTGTAATCAGCAGGACCGGAAGGGCTTCACTCATCCGCATTTCCAGGACTTTCTAGCCTGCAGTACTTGGAATCGCGGGGGGCGAGGGGTGCGTCATCTTACTGAGAACGCAGGGAGGCCTCTCACACAAGTAATCCAGTTTCCCCTAAGGGTCACCTTTGGCAAACGAGGACTAGGTTCGTAGGGGTGTCCCCGAGCCCCAGATGGTCCGCAATACTGGGAGCAGATATATTTAGATCGCATTTTTCTTCACATTTCCAAAGCTTCCAGGTCCTCCCAAACCTCTGATCACGCTTTACCGAGAGAACGAAGGTCAGGAGGGGTACGGTTTACGGGGAGGGGGACCTAGAGCCAGAGTATGAGCTTGGAGCCTTCCCCTGCAGGAGTCCCAGGCCTCGTGGCTGGATGCCGTGGTGCCCCATTTGGCCGAAGTCCTGCAGCTGGAAGACACGCCCAGCATCCAGGTGGAGGTGGGGGTGCTGGTGCGGGACTACCCCGACATCAGGTGAGAGCCCCCCACCACCCCCTAGCGCCGGCCTGGCCCCTTGTTGCTGGTGCGCCGGGGCCAGGTCGAGGACTCCGGGCCTTGGCATCCGTCCCGGCGTTTCCTGCTCTTGGGCGAGGGAGGGAGGCGGCGAGCGTGTCTGATGGCCGTTTCCTGCTGGAACCAGGGCATTATTAATACGATTTCCCTCCTTCTCCTGCCGCCGCCGCCGCCACCAGGGCTCGCAAACAAACAGGCAGTCACAGGAAGCCCAGGGCAGGGGGGGCGCGGGGCCGCCGGCGGCAGGAAGGGCCGGCCCAGCCGGGGAGCCGCGGGGGACACAGGGACACGCACGGGCACACGGGCGCACACGTACTGGGACAGTGGCAGGCGCCGCTCAGATCCTGGTGGATCATTTCCTCTCTGTGGGACCCTCTCCGAGCCTCTCCCAGGGGGATAATAGCACTCTTCCCATAGGATTGTTGGGGGGAATTCTCCATCATCGGTCAACATCAGCATTACCCTCGTCATCCACGGGGACAGCAGGACCAAGACCAATTCTTGTTTATTGAGTCCTTGTGTCAGACCTAAGCAAGCATGGTATCAGCCCACTCTATAAGTAAGACCTATAATAAAAGTTATTTTAGAAAATGATATGCAAGTGAAAGGCAGTGCTATTCTAAATGCTTAGCACCTCTGAGGCAGGCAGGAATTAAGTAGGTTACTCCAAATGCTACAGCTAGCAAGTGGCCAAGCTGGGACTTGAACCCCAGGGCAGGCTGGCTCAAGCTGGTGCACCTGATCACCGCCCCCCCCCCCCCAAATGCGATTGGTGGTGGCAGCCCTGCAGGGCTCTTCGGGCTCCCAGACATTCTGTATATTGGGAGAGACAAAACCCCACACCACCAGGGAGTGAGGCCCCAGTAGGGTTTAGGCTCCAGGGTTGAGGACTTGGGGTGGAGGGTGAGGATTCTGGACGTGATGCAGGATGGACAGTTCTGCCTCTGGGGTGTGGGGCTCTTTGTCCTTGGGAAGACACAAAGCCCTGTGGAGTGCTTGGTGGGGGTGGGAATCCCAGCCTTCCTCCTGGATTGGGGTTTCTGATTTGGAATCTGCACTTGAACATGAAGCTCAGTTTGAAAGCTCTCAAGTTTTGGAGTGGTTCCAAAGCCGACTTTGGAGCTTGTCTGAGCTGGAAGGCTCTTGAGCCACATTTTTGGATGAGCAAATTTTGGAGCTGTGGTGATTCCAAACTGGGGATGTGGGGAAGAGAAGATGCCGAGCTGCATTTGAAGGGGGTAGTGAAGGCCCCAGGGCTCTGTCTGAAATGAAAGTTCTGGAAATGACTGTTAGGTTCAGGCTCTTAAGTTGAAATGTGGTGATGGTCCTGGAGTTTTGGACCCACCATCTGTTGCAGAGATGCGGGTGAAGGGAAGGCTCGTTGTGTTGGATTTACGGGCAAGGGTTGGAAAATAGAGTTAGTTTTGAGACAGAGTTTCTGGTTGAGGGCCCCCTGCCCCAAGGTTAATTTTCCTTCTGGAGTGGAACTTTGGTTGAGCAGGATTCTGGGGATGGGGTGTGGGGGGGTGAAGCGAGTGTTCCAAGGGGATCGAGGTGTTCTCATGGATGGGCTCTGGGTTGAGAGCTTGAGTTAGTATATGGGCTCTGGAACTGCAGGGGTGGAGAAGCTTCCAGACCTGGCCTGGGGGGGAGGGGGGAGGTGAGGGTTCAGATGGGAATGTGGACGAACCCTTCTGGGCAGCATCTGAGTGATGGTAGGGGGCTGTTGGAGGTGCGAGTGAAGATGAAGTGAGGATTGCTGCTGATTCTGGGGCTTAAGCAGGTGTGAGGGGACCAGAAGGAAGCCCAGAGGTGGTCTGAGCTGAGTTGGGGCTGAAGATTGAAGGTTAATTAGGAGCTAAGACCAGGGTGCACAGGAAGACTCCTGTGCTGGGTGTAGAGGTGAGGGTTCTGGAGTCAGTTATGAGTGGAAGGATTTGGAAATGGTTGCTTAGCGAAGTTCTGGAGGGCATGCGGGTGGGAGGAGGGGCTGGGAGGAATAGAAATGGGGAGGGAATGGGGGCTGGGATGGGGGGAGGGCTGGGGGTGCTGCTGGTCTGGGGAAAGAACCTGGAAGGGGGCTTTAAAGGGGCTCCAGAGCTAAGGCAGGTTCTGGGACGGATGGGGGCCAGACGGGGTTCACGGGTGGGCTGGTGTGTGTCTGGCATGGAGAACCCCACGCACCTGTCCCTTCCTGTCTCCCCAGGCGGAAGCACGTGGCAGCCCTCCTCGACATCCGCGGCCTGCACAATGCAGCCGCCCGCCAGGAGATCCTGGCCGTGGCCCGGGACCTGGAACTGTCTGAGGGGGGAGCCCTGTCACCCCCTCGGGACCGTGCCTTCTTCTCAGACATCTCCGTGCCCCGCCCACCTTTCTGCCTCGGCCTCCCTCTCTTCCTGGGCCGCCTTCCCCTCTCCCGGCTGGCCAGGCCTGGTTTGGCCTGTCTGCCCCGGCTTCGGCCTCTGTCTCCATCACGGCCCCCTACCCAACGCTGAGACTCTCCCAGCCCGCCACCTCAGTGCCCCCCATCTTTGCTGCTGACAAACCATCCTCCTGTACGGGCTCGCTCTTGACTCCCTGCCTGGGACCACAGACCTCCCCACCCTGGGGGGCATGGAAAGATCCTCAGAGGTCTTCTCGGCCACCCCTATAACCCCCAAATAGAAGAGAAACAGGCCGGAGGGAGCAAGGACTTTCCCAAGGCCATGAAGCTCATTCCCAGCACCAGCTCCCGGCCCAGTGTGCAGTGGGGGGCATTTTGGAAGGCTCTACAGAAGTATCCCAGGCCCCCCCTTTCCCCTCACCTCAAGGTCTGGCCCCAGTCCAATGTATTAAGGAATGTACGATACTTAGAATAAAGAGGTTTCTATTTAACACAAGGAAGGGCTGAGTCCCCAGTGTGTGGGGGAGGAAGGACCGGGGGCAGGGCCCAGGGCCAAGGGCTTCTCACACACCCGAGGCTGGGCTGGGGTCCAACTCCTGGGCAGGGCAGTGGAGGCTGAGAGAGGCCCCACAGGCCAGAAGCAGGCAAGGTCGTCCCATTTACCCCGAGGCCCCAGGCTGCGGGACTCCGGGGCAGGCCCTCGGCCACTCTTGGCCAGGCTCCCTCGTTTCGTCAATCCCAAAGTGCCTCTCCTTCGTTTCTGGGCCTGGTGGTTCCACCTTGGCACACACCCCCCCCCTCCATCCATCCTTAACCGGGAAGCTGTGTCAAGAGAGGAAGGAGGTTGGGGGCAGGGCTGGCGGCATCCAGGGCGCCCTCCTGGGTTGATGCAGGAAAATCTCAGGGTGGGAAAAATTCCAGCCTGATCCTGATCCCCATGGAGACCTTGAGGTCACCTCCCCGCTGACCCCTGCCTCTCCGGCCTGGTTGGACAGCCTATGATGGATGCTTCCTGGTGTGTGTGTGTGTTTTGCCTGAGAAGTGGGAAGGAGGAGGCAGCCAGGGGTCAGCTTTGGGGCTGGGGTTGGAACCTCACCCACATGTGAACTCAGGAAGGTGGGGACTCAGGACTCTTGGAGCCTCTGGGCTGTGTGACCTTGGGCAGGAAGCTGCCCCTCTCTGGGGAACCGCTTAACCTCTCTTTCCCTGGGCCCAGGTGAGCCCTCCAGAGGACGTACCCCCCTCGCTTCCACTCCTAAGAGGACACTTTCAATGTTACTGATGTACAACAGAGGAGTTGAGGAATGAACGACGGGTCGCAATTTGTAGGCATTTCACGAAGGACCTGTGAACCTCAGTGTAGCATTATTCTTTCCAGATTTGGGTCCCCTATTTAAAAACAGCTTTATGGAAATGGGATTTGCATGCCAGACAATTCATCCCTTTGAAGATTCGATTCAGTCACCCTTGGTATATTCGCCGATTTGCGCAACCATCACCACACTCAATGTTAGAACATTGTCATCATCCCCCAACAGAAACCCTGTACCCCTTAGCTGTCTATCCCCCTCAGGCCCTGGCGACCACTGGTCTACTTTTTGTCTTTATAGATTTGCCTATTTTGGACATTTCATATAAATGGGATCATAGAGTGTGTCTCCGTGTGCGTGTGTGTTAAGAACACTTAACATGAGAGGGTCACCTGGATGGCTCAGTCAGTTAAACATCCAACTCTTGGTTTCGGCTCAGGCTGTGATCTCAGGGTCCTGAGATCAAGCCCTGCATCAGGCTCCATGCTCAGTGTGGAGTCTGCTTGAGATTCTCTCTCTCTCTTCCCCTCCCACTCGTGCTCTCTCTCTCTAAAATAAATAAATAAAATCTTAAAAAAAAAGAACACTTAACATGAAATCTGTCTTTTTTTTTTTTTAAAGATTTTATTTATTTATTTGACAG